CCTCCTTCCTTCCCTTTAAAGAAGAAACGATAAGTAAATAATTAACATTCTTAATATCTGTTAAACTACTAAATATCTCCCTGGTAGAAATTTCAAACATTTTTTGAGCAGTTATTAGCTGTATTATAATAACTTCTGTCTAATAATTGAGAAGTAAAACTTTAGAATCCCAATTCAGATTTAATGCTTTGCTTGCAGTTATTTTACTGCACACAAAAGATGCGCAAAATCTGAATTCACTTACTGAACAAAAACGCGACAATAAATAAACTTCAATTGATTAATAAGCAAATCTGCTGCTCACGAAATTGGCAGTTTTGTTCTTACAGTGATATAATACAATATAATATTTCGTATTTTGTAAATAAAAATCTATCAAGTTCTTGATAGATTTTCCGACGCAGTATTGTTACCTTTAATGGACATAGTAATACTAGACAGTAATTGGATAAGCGTCTAAGAAGAATGTATACATTTCTACCAAGGCTGTTAAATTATTTTTACTAAATATATCTATCATATTATTTTTAATATCTATATATTAAACTGTTAACCGTTAAATTACCCATTTAGGAACCAGAGCAAATAATTAAAAAACAGAACATTTATTTTTATAAAATCACTTTACAGCTTTTCTCTGAAAATATTTTTTTTTGCGGCGCTTCGACTCCTCTAGGACTCCAATGCAAAAAGCCCGTATATAATAATCGCGCCACTGATTACGAGATGACGCGCTAGTCCTCTCCGATCTGCGCACGTCCGAAGCCGAACGGTATCGCGATATCAAAAATAAACATTCCTATCGCGTCCGGCGTCATTCATGTCCGTACACTTGCGAGAGTATCGAAGAGGGACTCCGCCTGCATTCATCCGGCGCGGCGGTTATATTACAGTTGACCGCATGCGGGTAGAATAACGCGGTTCTCTGTGTGTCCACGCTGCAGCCTCCATTCCCCTCGCGCTCTCACGGCCTTCGTCATTCTCTCTCACCACCCCCCCCTCTCCCGCCCCGCCGTCGCCCTCACCCTCTGTCCCCCTTTCCCGCGACAATGACGTAGCGTCGTACTCTTTGCGGCGACGACGTGAGCGACGGCAAACCATGCTCTTTCACGTATATACACTCCGTATTCCGTTTTACGCTGTCACGCGGAGGCCGAGATAGCTCCGGCCGAAGTCGGAGTATTTAAATGGGACGCGCGCGCGCGAGAGAGAGAGAGAGAGAGAGGATGCTCCTCTCCGATGGGACACTCGCGCGGCTTTGTCTCCGACTTCGTCATTGTGCCTGCACCTTCGCGTACGTACAATTACTTATTCGCCGTATACGGCGCGTAGGACGCGCAGTTTTAATTCAGTAACAAAAGCCGTACGGAAGGCTATCGAGTAAACATGAATCATCGCTTGGATGCTGCATTACCGCGAACTCTGCGGTCGGGATAAACATATGGAGTTCGAGCGTGTAGATAACGAAAAATAATATACGATATGTACTGAATGACTCATAGCCCGGCGCGGACGCATCGTAACCGGAAGAGAATGATCAACGACCAATCCGCTAACACCGGTCAATCTTATCCACGTTTGCTCTTCGAACGCTTTTTGGGAGCTTGTGAAGTCTGTAGTGTCAACTCTTAAAGCAAATTGCGCACTTAGAGGAGCGCACTGAGTGCCGGACCGAAGATTTTCGAAAGTTTCTGACGCGAAACTAACCGTGTCTTTTGTATTCATATTTAACATATATTTTCCGATTATACACGATTTTGTACTTACACTTTTAATTCGACATTGATATATTATTACGGCCGACTCAAACCCGTATTGGAAATGGAGCACGAGATTGTCACCTTTCCGGTTTTCGGCTGGAGACTTTTTAAACGGCTCTTCGACAGACGGAAGATATATTCGGCTGACCATCCTGAATTTTAATTACCTTTTCTTAAAAAGGTAGTGTAGCCACCTCTTTAGTTTTCGGTCGAAGAGACTCCGAACACCATCTTCGGTAGATTAAAAAAAATTTTCAAAAAATCTCCGACAGCACACAGAGAGAATATTCTTTTAAAATTTACCCTGAAAATTTTGTTAATCGTGGAACAACATAATATTTTGACAAATTTTACTGTACACTACAATAAATTTGTTGTAGTATATATTTAAAAAAATAATAAAAATCATATAAAATTCGTCAAAATACCATGTTGTCCTACGATTAACATAATTTTCAGGGGAAATTTTAAAATAAAATTCTCTCAGAACCAAATCTGATAATGGTCTTTTTAGAGAAAGCATTAAAAGAAATTAAAAGAAAATAACAATACAGGCAGCAATCGATTCCAGATAGAAGGATTATTGATTTCCGGCAAAAAACTAATCGGAAGGTGATCGCAGATACCGTAATCGAGAGCCATTGAAAACAAGAACTCTTAAAGAAGATAAAATGTGTAGGGAAGCGCTACGTATTACTGAAGATGTTAGCCAAATTAGAGATTCCCGTATAATGAGGAAGGAATGCGCGCTCGCAACATCCTGTGTTTTTGTTCCTGCTCTTCTCGCAGAAGCTTTCATTAGCTTAATTCACATTCCGCGCTCATATTTCGCAGAAATCGCGATGTTTTCGTATCGGAAAAAAAAAACAGAAAAACACCTGGGCTCGTTATTGTTATGACAGCCGATCTTATCGGGGTGACGCGATACCGCTCGATAACATCGGCGCGACATTGCCTCTCGACATTTTTATTCCCACATTTTTATACTCTTAAATTCGACGCGATCGGAGGAAAAAACGATGTACATACAATGCCCCCTCCCCGCCAAAAAATCGAGCCGAGCAAAAACTCAAAAGATGAATTCGCGACGACGGTCTCTCGCGTATGCGAGGCAGAGTTTCAGCGTGTACAATCGCGACGACGAAAATAGAAGTGATTACTGGGCGTGGGATCAAAAATAGCTCGCGCGACGAAGATCGAGAGACTCGTCCTGCGAGCCAAACAAATCTGCTTTCGCAATGTTGTTGTCCGGTGGAAGGCCGGCACGAGGTTTGCAGCGCCGGTGACGTTCAGGTAAGAGCCGAACGCACCTACGGACCCGAGGTAACGGACCTTCGAGTCGAAGGAGCGAGAGGAAAACCGGTCGCGGCGCTCGGTCGAATTTTTACGCCGGCCGCGACGCACGTACAGCTCCGCTCGGTCGCGTAAAGTGAGCCTCTCCACCGTCACGGAATAGTCGCGCGATTGCGCGGCATACGCGGGAGAGGAGAGAGCCAAGGACTCCGCCGGTGGCAGGCACAGTCGTGCACCGCGTGTAAAGCCGCTCATTCATGAGAATCATAAGCGTCCCTCGACGAACGGCGGTCCCGCGCCTGTAATCCGTGACGTGAAGAAAGGTTTAGCTCGGGCGGAGAAAAATTCCAGAAATGCGAAGACGAGTTGACGACGATCGCGGCGCATGTAAATGCCTGAAGGACGTGATTCGTCCTTGAACAAATTTTTCTCCTCTGCGTCCTGTATCAATCTCAAGTATAGCATGAAACATCTCGACAATATTGCAGCAATGCTACCTGAGATCCTGCGAAATCATCCTAATCTTGGCGATGGTTTCAGACATAAGTTTTTTTCGTGGCTAAAGGGACAATCATCCCCAACAAGGGATAAGTCACGTACAGTTGCCGTCGACATCAGAAGAGTCGTCGAGTGCGGACCGAAAATTTTTGAAAGTTCCGACTAACCATCCTTTGTCAAATATATGAATATTTTCTGACCATACAGAGATTTTTTTTCACGTTTTGCTAAATTCGACTCTTGGTTGTTATTGGCCGAATTAAATTCGGAAAAGGGATAATCGCGGAGAATCTTTTTGTTTTTCAGCTTTCTCTTTAACGGTATCCTATACTCTTGCAGAAATTTAATACTGGAAAAATAATTATTTATTTTGAGCACGGATCTAACAGTTAGTGTTTTCAATACTCAAATAATATATATAATTACTAAAATAATAGGGCCAAATAATTACTTACATTGAGTATTAAAAGCACCAAGTTAATAATGCTTTAATACACAAAATAAGTGAATTATTTGGCCTTTCTACGAGAGCGCGAAATAGTAACTCAGAGTAGTTTCCCGTTATCTTTTTTCTGCAACGACACGAGATATGAGAGAACAAAATAAACGTGTTTGAGGCACGTATGTACGTCTTTCAGATACCAAACGACGACGTCCGCGCGTCGCACGCGTCACGCGGCTCGTTCGTCGATCGCGCCGGTGAAAGCTATACAATTAGCGTGCTCAGCTGCAACGTAATCGCGAATTCTGCTTATAGGCCGCTCGCAACAACAACGCGATCAACTGTGCACTAAAACCGACATTTTCTCCCCCCTGAAACGCATGACGCATCAATAACTTCGAGTCGCGACGCGTATACGCGCGTACTCCGTTAAACGCTTTTCTCGTCGTCACGTTCTAACGCGGTCGAGCGGAGCAAAAACTGGGCCGCGCCAGCTGGATGAAGCTCCATTACACGCTCCGGCAAACGCATCGCATTCGGAGCAATCGAAGCTGTCGCGGAACTCGGAGAGAGAAGTAGGCGCTTCCTCGTCATCTCGCGCGGGTAATTGGATCAACCGCGCGCGCGGGGGCGCGAGAGAACGCCGGAATCGTCGCGTGTCTCTCTTGATCTTAGCGTGCTGCGACACACAGCGACCTGCGGTCGCCGACAGACAGACCGAGCGATGTCTTGCATAATGCGCTCATGTTTTTACCATGTTTTCTCGCGTACACGGGGCCCCAACGGGCCTGTTCCTCGTCGCCGCACTGGACCGCACTGAAGTGACGTTTTCTCTCGCTCTCGCCAAACTTCAAAATATACCACATATGTATGTCCATTTTATTTTAAGTACAACGCGTGCACGGCTAGTCCGACTAACGAGAAACAGACCAGCACGTTCCCGCGAGATACGCCTGCGAGATTTGTAGGATAAAAATAAAGATAAATGATATCTGACTTGATCGGACCTTGTCTGACCTGGTCGCGCGCGATCCCCGCGTGGATCTCTCCGGCCGTCCAACGGCGGTTCTCTTCTGAAGAATTCCGTCCACTTCTGGGTCGGTCAACCACGGCGGCACGCAGGAGAGACGTAGATCCCCATCCGCGTGACGGATCGACGCACACTGGCACCGCACGTTTTTTTTCTTTTTTACGCCACCGGCGTCGAAATTGCGCGCATGCAAAAAACGTATCGGAGCGCGAGGGGATCGATTCTATTACTCACTTTCTACCTCTCATTCTCCGACGACGCGACGCGAGCTGCGTGCCGGAGCACAGCGAGGCGGGTTGGAACGGCGGTGGAAGGGCCTTTTATTTTCTTTACGTGTAAACAGTGCGTGGAGAGCACGGCCGCGCGTTCCCGCCGCGATGCCTTTCATTCAACTGAAGCGGGACTGGTGCGCGGACCCGCAGGCATCCGGCCGGTCGCCAGGCCGTCAGTGCGTCTCACGTCTCGCACCGATCGCCCCGCTCTTTCCGTAAAGCGAATCCGCCAGGCCGGGCGAGTGCGAGAGGACGCATGCGCGCGCCCGGCTCGGTTAACGAGGGAGCGCGAACTTTCAATGTTCGTCGCTCTCGTTGAAGTCTTGTGTCCACGATGCTAGAAATCGGTCCGAGATCGGTCGAACGAAGAGAGAATTGACTAATCGCATTGAGGTCAATTGGCCGAATTGTTCAAATGCGATCGGTCAATTCTCTCTCCGACCGAGATTTTAGTATTGTGATTTCTAGCGTCGTGGACATAAGGGCTTTATACATAGACGACGGATAGGGGACAGACAAAATATAATAAATTGTGAGTGAATACCTGAGATATAATAATTGGGTCTGTTTTTTTTGTTGAACTTCTTTCCTCTTTTTTTCTCTTCACTATTAAAAAAAAGAGACGAGATGAACGACGCAAGCTCAGCTAAAAAGAATAGGGCTCTTGTTAATAATAATTAAAATATGTACGGCGCATAAATGTACAAAATTATAAAAACTTGGCTGTTTAGATCTGAATTCTTTCGTTTATCTAATACAAAAAGATTGACTCACCGTTTGTTTTTAATATAAGTAGTTTTTAACATTCACACTTCACTTTTATCGATAAATGCGCATTTGGCATAGTTTACATTATATAAACTGTAGAATCTCAGAAGTGAATGAACGTATTTATTAATAAAAGTGAGGTATGAATGCGTATTTCACCTTCTCCTGTTAGAACAGAGTCATAATAATGTGCTTGAACAGTCACCAGTGTAAATATCATTCTTCTTGCAGAACAATTGCTTAAGAGATATTGAAGGAGGAAATCTGCTTTTCACTTTACTCTTCAAAATTACTAACAATGACTTGATGATATTTAAATCAGGCACTGACCAGGAAAGATATTGAAGTTTTGGAGAACAGAGAGCGATTTTAGAAAATAGAGTGAGAAGCAAATTTCCTTCTTAAGCATCATCTATATGAGTAATTGAAAGATATTCTGCTAAGTGAATAATACATTCCATTGATGACTATGCAAGCATTGTACGACTCTATTTTGACACGAATAGAATCTGTATTGAAAGCAAAGGGCGAACTAGCCTCTTATTAGTAAAACAAAGTAGTATACTTCTCAGGTAATCACATTAATTTGTTCATTCCCTATGTTTTTTCTTAAACGCCTCAATAAATCGTCTTAAAGACTACGAGCATATCGATAATATTGCTGTACAAAACATATTTATTTAATAATTTATGAAGATGCGCATACACAGCGTACAACATACAAGCTCTAGCGTTCTTGCGGTATCGCTACTTGGCGAGAGGTCGCGTTCGATTTTCTAAATTTTATGTACAATCACACCTTTCGTTTAGCGATCGTCGGATGAAAAACAGTACGGATGGAATTACACGGAATGGATCAGAATTATTCTGTTTTCCCTAGAAAACACAATAGAAGTACGATTCCGATCGAAATCCGTTCCGAAGAATTCCGCAATACCGGGATCGTTTACTACAAGCGACGAGCGCCATGCGTTTCGCTCGACACGGCACGCGCTGTTCGATGGCGAATCTCCTGAAAATATTTCGCCATCGAAATAAAAATCTGTGCCTTTCTCCCTCTTTCTTCTTTTTTAATCGCAAGCCGATGTCGAGAGAAACTTGAGACGCGATTAGAATATGTACGGCGCATAAACATACAAAGTTAAAAAGACCTGAATATTCAGATCCAATTTCTTTCGTTTACCTAATACAAGCTTTGCACTCTCTCTCTCTCTCTCTCCTTTTTTCTCTACATGCAATGTTGTTCGCATTCTGTCAAAAATATTCTATGTACAAAGATGAGGTGCGTGCTATATGAAAAAAGAATGTACAATTTCACAAAACGAGGATCCGTAGCTCTTTGTCTCGCGTGCGTAAAATGTAGAAAGTCTCACTCGCGTCCGCCAAGATTCTGCATACGAGGAGGAGAGATGGTCCGCCGGAAACTTAACGTATAGGCAGAGAGAATCTGTACAATGCGATGGTAATTAAATATCTACATAGATCCGTGTGTGTGTGTGTGTGTATTACACACACACTGGAATTGAAAATATAGATTCCCCTTTTCTTTCATCACGATGCCTTCCCTGCCACGAATCACTTAAACATCAACAGACGTAATGCACTACTGAGAAAATCTTGACAAATCAATTTTTTTTTAACTATGAAGAGATAATATATCGTACAATTCATTATGATACATGACAAGAATGATCTTTGACTCGAACAGTAGAATCCCGTTATTACCAATACGCAATAATAATAATAATGGGATTCTGCTATTATTAACATCGAATAATACATCTCGTAGTCGGCATCGTATCACCCTGTTTCACAGAACCGATATCGTTATCTAAAATTTCACATAAATGCGTGTAAACGTAGAGATAAGTACTACAACAGTTAAGATGAGAATGTAACTAGAAAAAATGTACAAATAAAGGAACAGATTGATCCTTCGTGATTTTTGTACATTCCCGAATGTGGAGGGGTTAGTCTTGCATGTCTATGTGCGATCTGTACTGTAACCTCAGGGGTGGGTCCCGGAACCTCCATCTCGTCACGTAAACGAACTTCAACGTGTGGTCCTTACCTAGTAATTCGTTATTGCACAAAATGTCGATCTGTGGAGAAACATGGAAACGAATTAATGAATGACAAATGACAAATTATATACGTTCTTTAGCGTTATATCATCGCTAGATATACTTACATCTCTATATTTCTCCATGCCGGTTAGAACCTTTTTGGCGATAAACTTTTTCATATGCGTTATCGTAGCCTGAGCCGAACACCTGATAAATCTCCTCTTCAAGGTCTTCAAACTCGAGTTCGTGCACTCCAAACATACATTAACCTACAAATTTGATTGCGTTAGTTTTAATTCCTGATTGAGTATTCTACTCTTGCGTTTTCCTGATGTTGCGATTACCTGCTCGTCAGTGCGATGATAATCCGACTCCGCGTGCGCATCCGCATTGGCTTTTTCCTCCTCAACTTCTCCGGCGTTGGGCAAAATGTCTTTAGGACAAGGCAAACCTCGAGCTCTGTAAAATTCTCTCTCCCTTTTGGTTTCATCTGAAATAAAAAACATTTCTGTTAAAAAAAGACATTTTTTTGTACAAAAAGAGATCAGAAACTGAAATGAAGGAGTTTTTAAAAGAATCTTTGTGTCTGTTTTGATCCTTTTAAATCTTCCTTAGATTATTGCAAAAACAAGCTTCGAATTTATTGAAATAAACACATAAAAAGAAATAATAAAAATGATAATAAACTCGCCTATAAAATAATGAAAGTAGCCAAGAACGAGAGATGTTGTTATATGTTATTTAAACTAAAATAATGTTTCTTTATTTAACATTAAAAAAAAAAACACTGAACATTTTGATTGCACGGTCCTCATCAGTAGTAATAAAAATTATAAGATTTATATAATTGGTTAAAAAAATGTAATAAATTAAATATAAGTACAATAAAAGAAAAAAAATATACAAATTATAAATCAGAAATAAATATAAATATGAATGAGTAAATATAAAGTTGATAAATTGAATAGATAATAAAAATAGAATTAAAACAAAAAGGCTACGTCAAGGTTGAAAGTGTTATATATATTAAAATTGAAAAAACTGTATAAATTAACATTAAACATATTAAACACATTATTAAAAATAGATCCGTCATACGATTAGAGTAAAAGCGTGCGAGTGATACATTGAAATGAAGCCCTTACTTTCTTGGAGGTCAGGAACTAGTTTGTAGACAATATCTTGCATAGTTCTGTCGAAACTGATGTACTGTAACGGATGCGACTGATGTATGACAATTTGGCATGTCGGACACGTGTGCTTCTCCTCGAGATGCTTCACCAGACAACTCTTGCAGAACGTATGCAAACATTCGGTGACCGTGGTGGCGTCAATCAGGTATCCGCGGCATATCTTGCATGTTATATGACTGTTCAAAGTTTTCAGTTTTATCCTTCTCTCCATGGCATCGATAATCACCATTTAACAGAGAGATATTATCTGCAGTGAACGGATATAACGGCTGCATTAATTAGTCGCGGATATTAATAGCCGAAGGTTACGGGGACGAGGTTGTTGGAACGGGTACGGGTGACCGCGCCTCGAGAAAGGTAGCAGGTTCAGGAAAATGCGAATCGGGCCAGCTCAATCCCGCCGACCCGTCACGGAATGCACGAGAACCGCAGGGTTGCGATTACGGTGCGCCCCAGGTCCAAATGCGTGCGGAAAGTGGGTTATCGTGGGGTCTAACCTCAATCTCGAGCGTGTTCGCACGGTGATGCCCTTGCCCAGCTTCTACTCGTCGCGGCCTTCTGCGGGGTGGACTCGCGAATCCCGCAGCATTCTGGCACCTCGAATCACGGATCACGGCGAGCGACTTGCGGAACTAAGGGAGGTTTCACTAAAAAATCTGCCTTAAAAACAACTCAGTGGCTAAAAACTTTTAATCATACGACAACAAAACGGACTTGAGGCGGACCGATCGCGGTGCCGCCTGGCGTCTAACGGCTCGAACCTGGAAGACGTGAAGCGCCTCTATCTAAATGAAACGTGAATATTGACCTACGTAGCCAATATTCATAATTCCGTAGGTAACGTTCGCGATTTTGCGGTTTGATCAATTTTATTTTGATTTTCGACTTTGTGATTGATCAATTCGACCAATTATTTCTCGTTAGATTTACTTTGGCATATAAAAAAGATATATCATGTATTCGGTTGTAAGAAATGGATCGTTGATTAATTTTATCTGTGATATATACATATACATATATTATACATAAGCGATATTAGATATATTATCATTTAATATATAATGATTACAGGATCGTTTTTGTACATTTACATTTACACAATCGTATTTTTACGTGACCAATTAATCGTTATTTTATTATCGACAGTGAAAAATTTATACATGTTAATTATTTTTCAATTTTTGCAACGTGAAAATTAAAAAATACGTGTATTAGTACAAATGTGAAAATCGAAAAATTACCTGTAAACTTCTCACTGTCGAATAAAATAGTGATT